AAAAAATGGAAAATATCCTGAGTTCATATTTTCCCTTGTCAACTACCAGCTGGACCACTTCCTAATGTTACCCTAGGCTCCACCAGTCTTCCTACAGCCCTGCACACTGACATTTCCTATTTGTTGTCTAACACTAGCCTGTTTCTGTCATTTTGGGTACTTGCGCATGCCTAACAGTAGTGGCGATTACCAACTCTGTCACGTCCCCTTACTAAAAATGGCCAATAGGACTACAGTGGAACTGTGGGTGAAGAAAATGTGTTTCTTCTTTATGCACAGTACTAAACAGTAGTGACATCAATATAAAAGAAGATGATGTAATGATCACAAATGAATGCAGGATGTAAATGAATAAAAGTCCTTATTTTGCATTCTCCTTGAAACGTCCATCTTTTACCTACCAAAGGGATATCGGATACTTGTCCAGTGCAGTCAGCTCGGCCAACACCAATGTAATAGCCACTGAAATTCCTCTGAGGGCTTTGGGTAGCTGGGAAATCATTGTCTCCTGAATCTGAAACATGAAGAAGACACTTGAAAAACAGTATTTCAGCCTATTTACTTACTGATGTGACTTGATATAAACTGAGTGATTAGAACACCTGGGTTCCGTTTCCTAAAGAAGCAATTGTTTCTGCTATTGAAGACCTGTCGACTGAAACATCTTCAGCCACCCATTTTACTAAGCAGATCGTTAATGTTTTCAGCATGACAGTCTAGGCCTCCCTCTAATATCTTCTAAGTTGTCACCCCAAACAATTCTCTGCCAAGCAGATTCCCCCTCCGCTGACTTACCCTGCTCTTTTGTTCTCGGCCAAAGGAATCCGGTGCCAGGTCCTTGGAAAACAACTTACGAAACCCAGACTCTGAGGACTGGTTTCTACCATCCGCTCCACCTTATTTCCTTTGCATCACCCACTCAATCTTGTTCTACTTCCAGCACCTCCAGACCCAGTTCAACCTCCCAAGCCAGCTGCCCATACCCTGGGCTGATCCTCCTCCACCTTCTGAAGGCTGTTATTTTACATTTGTCCTAAGACATTTTGTACCTGTTGACATGGCCCACTGCCACTGAGTCTGTGCAAACTCACAGCAATCGCGAAGAACAGAGTCGTAGTGCTGCCTAGGGTTTCCCAGGCTGAACATCTTTATGGAAGCAAACTGCCTCATCTTGCTCCTGCAGAGTGGCTGCTCAGTTTAACCCGTCAACCCTTCAGTTAGCCGGCCCAATGCTTACCCAATTCTGCTCTGCTTGTTGCCACAGTCTCCTTTTATTTTAATTATGCTCCTATCACTACATACATGTTGGTATATAAAATAAGTGCTTCTCCTTATTTTAATCTCACATCACTGATATAGCGCATATTAATGCTTATGTATATACATATATTTTTTTAATGTAGTCCCTGGGTGATGCAAAAAATTAATGTGCTCAGTTGTTAACCAAAAGGTTGAAGTTTGAGTCAGAAGAAAGGTCTGGCAATATATTTTTGAGACAGCCTTTTAAAACCTTATGGGGCACAGTGGTACTCCGAAGGTCCTCATGAAACAAAGCCAATGCGAACTGGTTCTTACGCTACCATACATGCGCGCGCGCGCACACACACACACAAATAACAGCAGAAGCAGAAAGGCATAGTTATTTGGAAGGCAGGTGCTGAAAGCAAATTGCACAGATTTGAAACCTGTGACTCATGATTCTATCACATATTAGTCAAGTGAATTACTTAGCATATTTGACCCTGATTTTCTCACATATTAACATGGATGAAATAAGAGTACCCTACTTCTTATTATTGTTTTAAATAATAAGTGTGTTGATGTACAATAATTATTTTTAAAGAATAATTGTTTAGAGAAATGGCTACTATATAGCTATGGTTTAATTTACATATTTGGACCTTTTATTTGTCTCTTCCTTCCAGAAAGGTATTTAAGGTGGGCCAAGGCAGCAAGTGTCAATGATTCAAGCTTCATGGTTTAAAAGTACTTCGACAAGAGATTAAGAGTCGGCTCTCTGGAATCCCAGAATTGTGGAGTTCAAGATCACCTAGTCCAACTTTCTGCATTTTCCAGGTGAGACAAGTATAGTCCAACTGAGATTCACAGAGAACATGTAGTGAATCACAAGCCGACAGACTCTGGATCCCAGTTCCTTTAAAACTGCGTCCTGATGGATGGAGTTAGCGGCCACACCCTCCCACCCTCGAGCCCGCTTTTCTGCATGAAGCTAAGGACTGCAAGGAAGAACACAGGCACCTTTGCTCTGAGTACAAAGCTAGGTGCCAAGCTAAGCCGAACCACACAGCTGAAGACAAGTTCCTTACAATAGCAAAGTGTTCATTTCTCCATTTGCTCGAACCACCTACGTGCTGTGCTGCTGAGTCTGCTACTACATATTAGAAGCGTTCTCATGGGCATCGACAATCTCCAGTCTCAGATTCCTAATCCTCTCATTTGAAGAGATTAAACTGGATAAATCCTAGAGATCATTTCCGTTCTCGCATTCCAAGACCCAGTTATTCCCACTGCTAAGAGAAGCTCAGTGTTAATGTGGGTGCAGGGAATTCAAACGCGGTAGAGAATACACGGAAAAGGGGGAGACCACCAAAAAAGGAAATGGGTTTTTCAAAGCTGTCTCCTGCTCTATCTGGCCTGAAACCAGCCTTCCTTTTGTTTGACCCAAAGCCTCCCCCCCACCCCACCCCCACCCCCGCACCTCTGTCTTCTCTGATTACTTTGCCAGTACAGAACTGGAGGTCAAGGTTCCATCCAAGAGCACTGGGCTCACTATTGCTTGCAAATGAGGCCTAGAGAAGTTTCAAGCCCTAAATCCATTTCCACCGTTTAAAAAACAACCAGGAGATGTCTACCCATTTTCATTTGCGGTCTCTCTTGAAAATCCCGGAGCTCTTCGTGAGCATGACGTCACAGCAACAAACAACTGATGCTAAAGACGGACAGTGGCCCCTTGTCAGCCAAACTCCCCGTCTTTCGCGGGGTGCTTCCCACAGCTCCACCTTCTTTTCAGAAGAAGCGGGATGTTCGAGGCCCTCAGGGGACCGTTTCATGGACGGTGGGCCAAGCGGTGGGTCATCCGTCCTCCCTTGGCGTTCGGGAAACGGTGACGCCATGGAAAGGCAGAGGAAACGGAGAACCCTGGGACAAAGTTCACGTTGCTGCACCTTGACGAGTCTGAGGCTGGGTTTCAATCAGGGAAAACTTCAAAGGCACAAAAGTACATGTCAGATGTCTGTCAAGTGACTATTTGGGGACAAAGGTAAGCTTGATAAGAAGTATTTTCAAACTTGCAGAAAGGGCCATTAGTGTCAAAGACAATGGCCATGCCAGGTTGCTTCTGGACACCAGGAACTAACTGTCCAGTCATCAACACCATCAGGAGACACTGCTTCTGGCCTTGGGGTCCCCCAAATGCAATGTATTTCCCACAAGCTTACAAATAGCATCCCGGAGAACCCATGACACTTGCCTTTATAGTTCTCAATGGTCCCAGTGGTGATAAACAAGAGGCTGAGAAGGGCCACAGTGACAGCAGTCATTATCACCAGGAGGAAAATGAGGAATGACTCCAACGTGGAGAAGGTGCGTTTGGCCATTTTTCCGATAGTAAAGCAGGCGCTGTAGATGGGTGAACAAGGAAGAACTTATAAATCACAAATTAAAATACATACGCTTCCAGCTGCGTGACGATACAATGTCTCAGCTTTTTTATATGAATAGACTATCAGGAAGGGCACATGCAGAGCACATGTGTTAATAGTTGTATTAGTCTGGGTACTTTAGAGAAACAAAGCCACAGAAACCCATGTATAAGAGAGAGTTTTAAAGGTTAAGTGCGCATCAAGAAAACATCCCAACCCAGTGCTGCCCAAGCCCACAAGTCCAACATTAACCCATTAACCCAACACCAATCCACAAAGTCCTCCTCCATCTCACAAAACAGACTCAACGATGCCGATTGCAGGAGGAAAGCCAAGTCAGTGAATGTGTAAGCATCTCAGCGCTGGCAGGGGTTTCCACACGGCTGCTCCAGCACCCAGGGCTGTATCAGGGTAGGTCCATGTTGCTTCTCCTCAGGGATGTCTTGCAGGAAGTCAGCCTTGCAAGGTGAAGCAGGGAACTGCTAAAGCAGCTGCACCCTGGTGCGACCATTACAAAGCAAGAGACCGGAGAACTAGAAAGGCGAGGCTCACCGAGCAATTTATCCCTCCGCCCTTCAATTAATCCCACATGTGTTTACCGGCCAGGTTGGCACAATAAACTAACTCAATAGTTCTACATCCCAAGCCCATGGCCAACGAGGACAACCAGTTACAACAATCTTTTTTTGTAAACTCAGTTGTGGTATCTAAATCCTTCTCAATACAGAGCTCCACCTGGCAGGGACCACCCATCATTTGACACTTGTAATTGAGTTAAAATATATTTGTATTCCAGGGCTATACCATAGTGCTTTCATTCATGCCAATGATGCCGGGTACGAGACTCGGCAGGAGCATGTCTGTCAGTAGGGATGATTGGTGGGCCTGTAAGGCTTGTACTGGACAGATGACTGGCTGAGTTGGGGCTGTGCTCTCTGGTTCTGGACGAAGTAAAATTAACTTTCCACATGGAGATTAAACCCATCATTTTGGCCTTTAAACTCTGTCTTCTCACTTTCAACCCCTACTTCATGGGGAGATGTCATGAACAGTAGAATTGGTATCGCTGGTCGACAACCAGGCATTAGTAAAATTTTCCTCTTCAGGGATCGGAAAGATTCCCTATGATTTTCAAAAGCCCTATATCAATGGGTGGGGATAAATTTTTTTTAAAGTACGTGTGTTTTATAGAAAATATACTTATAGGTTCCTTTAAAAGGTTTTAGGAGAATTCCCCACCACCCAGAGGAACTACAAAAGCTAAAATCACATCTAATGTAATAGGGAGAAGTATAAAATCGTGGATAAAGATTGGGTTTTCCAGTCTGACTCCAGAGTTCAAATCACATTTCTGACACTTATTGAGGGACCTTTGAGAATCCTCCCCTGACACTGAGCCTCTGTTTCCCTGTCTATAGATAAGAAAATGATTATTATAATTTCGGCATATAGAGTTTCTATAAGCCTAAGATAAGACAGTGACATTAAAATACTGGATCTGTTCTAGGAAACATAAGCAGTGCATTAAAATGTTCGTATTTACTAGTAGACTCCCAAACCACAAAGACTCTGTGCTCCTCCCTGCTGCTAAAGGGAGTTGACAGAGGCTGCCATGAAAGGGATACTGGACTCACCGTGGCTCCTTTTCTTAACCTTTGTCTTAGAAAGTCTGAACAATGAGGTAGGATTCGAATCACAGGACTTCTCTTCCAAATATCTATCTGTGACTAAGATGCTGTTACTCCCGAGAGTTTGTTTCTTGGCAGCCAGCAGGTGTGTTTAGCATGAGCCAGCTCCGGTGTTTGCTGGACTGTGACTTCACTGACAAGGTCAACGTTAGAGTATAGATGTAAACCTGGAACTTCACGGTTTCTTTTCATTTTTTCATAAACTATGGCAACACTGAGCCAGTATTTCCATGCGCTCAAAGATTGCTAAAACTAATTTTTCTACTTTTCTTCCCGATGGATGGGTCATGTGCTCTCCAAGTTGCCATAGTCCCTGGACTTTATAGTCATGTGATTTTGCAATACCTGGGCTAAAGTTAATTAGTCTACCAGTAGACATTTTCAAGGTTGGGTTGAACTGGGACTAGATAAGGAGAAGGAGACATCTTCCCCAAGTTCATGATTACTGAGAGGATTTCCTCATGTATTCGTCATGACCACGAGTGCCTTTATCACCTCCAGTGGGGACATCTTCAAATCTTGAGCAAAGCAAATGAAGTCGCAACTTGGTCCTACTTCTACTCCCTGTCCCCAGGAGTCAGGAGATCCAGCTAAGAACTATCTCTAAAAATGTGAAGATCCAAAGAGATTTGCTAATCATTAGCTGTTGTTTCCGTCAGTGAGCAAACATTAAATCCGGTCAACTTTGTTCTGCCCCAAAGCTACGGCTCCTTCGAGCTTTCTGACTAGCTGAGAAAGGCAATGAAAAGCACATGCTTGATAGGTGAAAATCAGATGCCCAGAACTCATGGCGTATGTAAACATGGTCACAGGGTGGGGGCCTGTGTGTGTGTGTCAGACAGGCAGTATTAAGCAGCACGGTGGTGCTGGCAGTTTTGGTGATGGTGGTGGAGGTGGAGGTGGTGCTGGCGGTGGTGGTGATGGTGGTGTTCCTACTTTTACTCTGCTGGACTGATTATTCCCTCTGAGCTCTTATATAAGTCAACAAATGCATTTATTTCATTTGATTGGGCATTAGAAGTTGAAACCCCTAGAGAGACTTGAAAGATCTGTCTACCTTGTGCATTTCATCACTCTCTTCTGCTACTCGCACGGTTGCAAACACATTATTGTTACCTTTGAACCACTGTCACTGATTCCGCCCCAACCTTTGGAGAAACTAAAGCCTGAATTAGCATATGGGTTACTCAATCCTGATTGAAATCTCAGTTTGAACTTTAAAGCATGATTGTCTTCAGAACGGAAACTCAGCCAGGAGAACTGAATCAAAGAATGGTAGAACTTTGTCAGAATCAACTAACTGATTTATGTATTACCTATGTGTGTGGTTATCTTAGTTGTATTTATTACAGTTGAAAATAATTATTGTTGTTGAAGGCATATAAATTAAATGGTATAAAAGTTCTGAATCTAAAAAAGAAGAAAAGTAAAGATTGCCTTTTCCAGGAGTCTACCTGCTAGAATGGTTACCACCTAATCTAGCACAGTCCTTACAACTCACTGATGAGGCTCAACTACTATAACATTATGACCTACATATGGCACATTCTAGCACACAAGGGCTCTGATTTCCACGACTCAGACAGTCATAAGGAATAATTTGGAAAAAATAAACTTCCAAGTTTAGAAAAATGGGATGAAACTTTGGAATTTCCCCCCACGATCTCTGAGACAACAGGATGATTCCAGATTCTTCTCTCTGCCCCATCTCCCACTCCAACAGTTTAGACTGTGGGCGAAGGAGTTGTGGAGAGGAAGGGGAACTGGGGGTGGGGAAACAGGCTGAGTGGTTATAGCCAAAAAAGGAAAGAGATTTACCTGCAGAAAAATGGAGAAATCAAAATTGAGGAGTGTACAGGCTCTGATGAAGCAGGAGAGAAAGACGCATGTCTGATTAATGTCTCCCAGATCGTAGCAGTGGCCCCTGCATCTCCCTTCTTGTACAATCCAGAGGAAATTCTCTCAACTACTTTATGAGTTCACTTGTTTAGTAACTCTGGAAACATTTTGAAAAGAGTGGAAATTTCATTTCATCCCTTTCTGAAGTATAAATAGTTTTGTTTGTTTTTTTAAGAGGTGAAATCATTTGATATGTTTATTTAGTTAGTTATTGATACAAGCAAACAATTGGTGGGCTGTGGAATTGTGGAAGCCTGTGACTGTCTTGACTGTTCACATACTCCCCCTCATGGAAGGGGGCATATATGTATCTCATGATGCAAAGCATACTTCATGGCAATTTAGAGTAGCAAACGTGCATTTCTCTGACCTGAGTATTTTAAAATACTTCTATGTCCATGCTGATTTTTCATCCAATTAATTCCTAAAGAAAGTCATTCCCTTACCCTGGCTCTCCCTAAACTATGTAGAATCTATAACACCTCTGGTAATGCTGGCCTAATTTGTTTACTGGTTTACAATCACTTTTGGTATATGCTGTGAAAGAGTGAACGTTTGAGTGTGTAATGTGTGTGATATTAAATTGCTAATTAATAGAACTCACAATTACACAATTTTCCAACAATTGGGGATATTGATATCCTCTTCGGGAAATTTTGTCTCCAAATCTAAAGCTAGGAATAAAACAAACAAGTCCACAATCAGTCAAATCTATTCCAACTGGTGGGACAGAGTAGAACCGTCCCCTTCAGTTACCTGAGGCTGTCAGTCTTTGAGGGGGCAGAACACCTTCCCTTTCTCCTGAAAGGGGCTGCTGAGTTCAAACTGCTGACTGGTGGGCAGCCCGGTGCATACCCCACTACCCCAGGGGGTCCTAGACAGCTGGAAATCACTGGAATTTAGATAAGAATGATTACTACATGGGTTTTGTTTGTTTGTTTAGATTTTGGGTACATTCTTTTTTGTCTCTTTTTAAATAATTAAATCATTTGTTTGGGGGATGTACAACTCTTATCACAATCCACACATACATTCATTGTGTCATGCACTTTTGTACATTTGTTTTCCCTCATCATTCTCAAAACATTTGCTTTCTATTTGAGCCCCTGGTATTTGCACCTCATTTTTCCCCTCCCTCTTTGCTCCCTGCTCCCTCATGAACCCTTGATAATTTATAAATTATTATTATTTTTTCATGTCTTAGAGTGTCCGACGTCTCCCTTCACCCACTTCTCTACTGTCTTACCCCCAGGGAGGGGGTTATATGTAGATCCTTGTAATCTGTTCCCCCTTCCCCCCCACCTTCCCTCCCCCCTCCCAGTATTGCCACTCTCAGCACTGGTCCTGAAGGGGTCATCTGTCCTGGATTCCCTGTGTTTTCAGTTCCTATCTGTACCAATGTACATCCTCTGGTCCAGCTGGATTTGTAAGGTAGAATTGGGATCATGATAGTGGTGGGAGGAAGCATTCAAGAACTATGGCATACAAATTATTCATAATATCTCTGTACTGACCCTTAAAACAACAAATAAAATACCAATTATGACAGAAAAAGAAATTCCTTCTTTTCTCCCACTTCCCCCTCTCCCACTTCCCAGAAATGTTTCTTACCTGAGTCAACCACTCATTGAGATTTTGAAATCCAGGAAAGCAAACAGCCAATCAAGACTTATCCCCTTTTTCTCCGCATAGGCCTTTAGCTTTGCCTTCTGAGACCTATTGAAGAAAGATTTTCATAGTCAAGTCCAGAAGAGTTCTCATTAGCATAATATCACGGGCTTGGTACAAAGATGAGATTAAAGTATATTGATAACCAACTCACACTCTTCCCCGGGATGCAAGGCTGATTGGGCTGAAGGTCATTTCAGCTTTGACACAACCCTTCCAGGACGCCCAGCTCTGCGCAAGGCTGAAACCCCAGATCTCACAAAGTGTGTGCTTGACTTGTTTCTCCCCAGTGACTCAACCAGGGGTCCGAAAGTAACAGGAAAAAGTTGGCTTTTCGCGTGGCTAGGAAGCCCTCTATCCAAGGTTTATAGCTACTTCTGAATGGAAAGATTATTTCATTTTTAAACCCTGATGTGTACAAAGAATGCAAAAGTTAGATTAAATAATGAAATGAGTATAAATAAGAAGGTGTTGTGACCACTAAAAATCATAATGGAGAAAGAAAATCAATGACGTGGACAAGAGTCCCTTTTTTGTTTAGTTTTGTTTGGGTTGTTGTTGTTCCAGAGTATGTTTGTTTGTTTGTTTTAAATACTTTTAATGGGGGTGCTTACATCTCTTATCACAATCCATACAGATCCCTTTTGTTTGTTTGTGAATTTAAAGACATTTGTTGTGGCTGGCTCCCATGGAGTCGGCTCTAACCCAGGGCACCCTCAGATGCGAGGGATCTGATCGTTGCGACCCACAGGATTTTTCAGAATTAGTTAGCCAGGCCTTTCTTCTTAGTCTGGAAGTCCCGATGAAACTTGTTCAGCAATACAGCAGCACATGAGTCTCTACTGACAGATGGGTGGTGACTGGTCTTGAGGTACATTGCTTGATATCGAACCCAGGTCTCCCAAAAGGAAGACAAGAATTCTGCCGCTGAATTATGACAATGAGGTCCCCATATTGCACTATTTATATGTGTGTATTCAGAAAGACTCTAGAAAGGACAGCCAGGTGTTACGAAGCAGTTCACTGACAAAGTCGTTTCATCCTTTCTGCCTTGGGGTACTCTCCACAGTGACTATGTATATCGCTTGCGTAATGGGGAAAATCCAATGCTTTTAAAATAAGAAAATAGTCGCCTCCTTTTGGCAGTGCATATTTGTACCAGGGCTTGACGTAAATACTAGTCTGCACGAGTTACATTTCCCCATCTTTTATCTTAGTAAACCCAAGCTGTCTGGGACAAATTTTGAAAACAAGAAAGACAAAGACCAGATAAAAACCAAACCTCACTCACTGCCATTGAGACAATGCCAACTCACAGTGCCCCTTGAGGACAGAAGAAAACTGCCCCTGTGAGTTTCCAAGACTGTAACTCTTTACCGGACTAAAAAGCCCTATCTTTCTCCCCAAGAGAGACTGGTGATTTTACACAGCTGACCTTGCAGTTCGCCACCCACGGTGTAACCACTACACCACCAGGACTCCTTCAAGATCAGATAGGCCACTCAATTCTTCGAAGGCTTTGAAGAGAGACCAGCCTTACAACTCCATCTGAAAGGTTAGAGATGAGAATACTTTCATAGAGGTCATTTAACAACATATTATAGACATCTTTCTACTGCTGCAGAAAGAAATAAACAAAATAAAAAAGCAGATCAAATCCTACTGTTAAACAACCTTATTGGGATGCACAGGAGGAGTGGATGCACAGTGATAATAACTGATAGAGGGGGGGGATAGGGGGTGCAGGGGTGGGAAAGGGGATTTCAGGAATAAAGGAGTGAAGGCAGGAGGGAGGAAGGAGCACCTGAACTGACTGCGATTACACAACTCGTTTTAATGGTAATTTAACCATGGCGGTGGGGGTGGGGGGCGTGTTCTAAAACTGATATGGTAATGGTTACACAAGTCTCCCTGGTATGATTGAATGCTTGAACTATTGAATTGTATGATATGTAAATTATGTGCCAATAAAACTGTTTTAAAAAATCTTAGTTTAGTGTATCTACATTAGGAAACTTTTGGTTTTAACAATAGTCACCAAATCTAGCTAACTTAATGTTGGAGGGCTAAGAGAGAAAGGGGTGGGATGAAGTCAATTCATTGGAAGGAGATGGGAAAAGCTGAAAACTCAGGCTTGGGAAGACCAAAAATCAGGGTAGCTCTAAGGATCTAGCAAGCAGGTGCTATTAAATGATACCTTTGGGGCATCACCATTTCTCAGAAAGCAATTCACTTATTTTAGGTTCTTTCCCTTCCAGAAAGGCAGCATCTGTCTGTCTTTTGCTAACACCTTCTTTGGGAGAGAGTCTTGAGTGGAGGTCTCAGTAAAACAGTACCAATAGAGGGAAAGGTAGCTCTGCAAAATGAGATCAAGTTAAACTAGATGGTGCCCAGGTAAAAACAGCAGATCCCCACTATTGACTTGCCACGTGGCTTCCTTTTCCCTTGCAGTGGGAGGATCTCTACCCTGTCCCTGCAGTCTCTTTTAGACTTCTCCAAGCATTTCTTCCTCTTAAAAATGTGCCATCTTCTTACTCGCTTCTGCTGAATCCTGCTACATAATGTAGCATTCAGTGAGACAAGACGGTCTTAAGCAGAGGTAATAGCATAATATATCACCTCTCCCAGAAAATACTCAGATGCCTTCACCTTAACACGATGAGGTCAGAACCTTGAAAACGCCAAGCACTATACTCAAGGCAACTGAAACCAAAGCCACTGCCTTCACGTTAATGCCAGCTCATAGCAACCCTGTGGGACAATGTAGCTATGCCTCTGTGAGTTTCCAAGACTGTAACTCTTTCAAGGGGTAGAAAACTCCACCTTTCTCCCGTTGGTGGTAGAGCTAGTGGGGAGAAGTGTTGGCCCAAGGATACTCCTGGTGCTCATCAAAAGGCTGTCTCCTATAGCCAAGAACAAAACTATTCTGGAGTGTGATAAAGATATAAATCGTGCAAATATTTATTTCTGTCGGAATGACTCTCACACAAGTTCTGTTATCTAGGATAAAGATAATTGTCCTCCTCTACCTGCTGCTTCTAGCCTGAAGGATAATGATGTCAGAAATAAGATAATATTTCTTATGCCTACCAGGAAGACCAATTAATAAGATTCTTATTGAAATTTTTGTGCCAATCACTATTGTCAAAGGTGAAGAAATGGGAAAGTTTTACCAACTTCGGCAGCCTGACACTGATGAAGCATAGAATCAACATGCATTGGCAATGACTCCTTTCCGAGTCTGTAAATCTTTATAGGTGCAGACAGACTCATCTTTCCCCGTGGAGTTGCTGACCTCACAGCTGGCAACCCTTTGTCTAGCCCACAGAGCTACCAAACCCAAACCAAACTCCTTGCCCTTTGGTCAGTTCTAACTCATAGTGACTCTACATGAGTGGTCCTCAACCTTCCTAAAGCTGTGATCCTTTAATACAGTTCCTCATGTTGTGATGACCCCCCCAACCATAAAATTATTTTTGTTGCTACTTCATAACTGTTATGAATCATCATGTAAATATATGATATGCAGGATGTATCTTCATTGTTACAAATTGAACATAATTAAAGTATAGTGATTGATCACAAAAACAATATGTAATTATGTATTGTGAAATATTTATTTCTAATTACAAATAAGTGAAAATTTGTCTTGAAGCATGGTGTAGCATGGGTAACAGTCATAATATAACAACAGTAAACTTCATTGCTACATTTTGTGACAGTATGTGTAAAAGAAGGTTGAGATAGCTTCTTTCTCACCAGATCAGAAATTCTCGGGGCAGTCTTTGCAAGAGCACAACGAAGATCACCTTCCACAAGTCTACTTCTGTATTTACACTTGATAACCACTTGGAAAGCCCTGTTTCACAAAGATATGTTGTTGGAAATGGAAGAAGAAGGTGCAACACAGTCTCAGACAGAACAGGATGACTGCAAACACTTGATCCAGAATTTTGTAACTGGCATTGTAGAGAAATCAGTTCTTGCTCCATCGCTGTTAATAAGTTCAATGAGCTCTTGTGTTGTCTCAGGAACGTCTTCAACTTTGACTGAGAATGGGCTCCTGGCAAGTGCAAATGGGGAGTCAGGTGGATTTGGAAAGTACAATGAAATTTCATCTGCAAGCATGCACAAGTGTTCTTTCACAAAATTATCATCGCAAAACTTTTGTCTGGTTCAATGTCATGTTCCTCAACGAAAGTAGATAAGGTAGGCAACATGTAAATTTTATTTTCATCCTTTTTTTTTTTTGGCCAAAGCTGAAGTTTCATTTGGAATGATCGGATCTTTTCAGAAAAAATTGAGGCATGTTGCATTTGGTCCTTGCAGTGATAAATTTAACTCATTCAAAATGGCAAAGATGTCTACCAACTGAAGTATTTTCTGAAGTTCACGTTTGTCGCTGAAAAGTGCTTTGAACTGCAGTCTTGTTTTCTGATTAAAAAATGCTTTGAGTTCATCCCAAAGCTCAAAAACATGTTTTAAAACTTTTCCTCTCGACAACCATCTTACTTCAGTGTAAAATAGTAGAGCATTATTCAGCATGTCCAACTCATTACACAGTTGCGAAAACAGTCGACAGTTTAAAGTGCTCACCTTTACAAAATTGACAGAACTTATGACGCTTTCCATTACTTCTTGTAACTCTTGTAGCAGCGTCTTTCTTGCTAATATTTGCCGATGAATCATACAGTGCATTCTGATGACTTTTGGTGACTCATTAAGTACCAAACGTTGAAATCCAGATCGACATCCTAGCATAGCTGGAGCACCATCTGTGCAAACACCACAAACCTTTTCCCAAGAGATCTTCTGCTCTCTCAGAAATAAACCAACTATGTCAAATACATCAAGTGCAGTAGTTGTCATTTCAAGTAGTTTGAAAACAAGAAACTCATCTTTAAAGTCGCCATCATTAATATATCTCACATAAACCAGTAACTGTGAACAGTTTGCAACATCTATAGATTCATCAAGCTGGATGCTAAATACTGAAAGTGGAGCAGATTTAATTTCCTGGATTACCTGACCAAGAATATCAGCAGACATGTCATCTCTTCTTCTGTGGACAGTGTTGCAGAAGAATAAGAAAATTGCACTCAATTTCATAACAAATTCTTCTCCAATCATAACTCAAACAATGTTTTTGGCCACTGGCAACAGTAAATCCTCAGCAATGGTGTGAGGTTTCGCAGCTCTGGCGATTCTGAGAGCCACCAAATATGAAGCGTCAGCGGCTGCTACAGTTTGTGGTGCTTGCCACCAGTGTCAAGTCTGGCTCTCTTGAGTCCATCAGATTTGCTTCATAAAATAGTTGGTATCCTTGCTAGCAAAGCTCGGATGCTTGCTATCAAAATGGCATTTTAGTTTGTTTGGCTTCATAGATTCGGCTGATAGAACTTCACAATAAATAACGCATTGTGCTTTCTCAATTCCTGCTCTAACTATTGAAGTAAAACCATACTGTAAAAAACCCTCACTATATTTTCTTTTCTTAATGTTCTTCTCTACACAATCCATTGGCATGGGATGGTTTGCTAATGAAAATAATATATAACATTAGCTTTAATAATACAAAAGATGATACATGGCATAGTTCAGTCAAAACAGTTCATTAGAGTTTCCTATGATTTACCATTCTCTGTGTTGTTGTTTTTTTACATATCTGTTACTATCACAAGGGGACTGTATTCCCATCAACCACAGGTGAATATAAAAATACAGATTAAGCATCCAGATTAAGCTCCCATGGTACAGATATATACATATGTATATTTTTTGCAGTAGTTGATGCTTTTACATTTACCCAATAATTATAATTCATGAAGTATCATTTTACCTCTAATTCTGCAGCTTTCAATGCACAGCTACACGGTGTGTAGCTGCTCTCTACATAGTAGCTGCTCTCTACACATGTGTGACTGGTTTGCATAAGTACATTATGGCGCCAACCCTGTCACATACACCTATGTTTGTACAGGGTGTATATGATGGGGTTGGTGCAATGATGTCAGCATGCCAGCTACTCTTACATGGGCATATCAGCATGTGGGCGGACCCGCCTGGAGACAGATAGAGGAGCGGTGTCTTGGTTCCTAAAACCATCAGAAAATGTGTGTTTTCCAATACCATAGTCTTAGGCGACCCGTGTGAAAGGGTCGTTCAACCCCCAAAGGGGTGGCGCCCCACAGGTTGAGAACCACTGTTCTACAGTGGTACCAGTAACTGGAAAAGATCACCTTGGTTCAACCTTTTAAAAAGCATAAATGATGAGGATACATGCAGGCTTCCCTGGATGGAATACGCAGGATTCAAACGGACTTCATTTGTAGAGATAGACCATGGAGGAGAGGATGAAAATAACCACTCAGAGAAAGATGCGAGAACAAATGTGGAAATTACCCTAAATTGTCCCACATATAAGTTGAAGTGGAAGTGGAAGCAATTTAAAACAAGTTCATGAGTCAAAATGCAACGCCAAGTACATCCCACCTGATTTGAAAGACCATCTCAGGAGTAGATGGGACACACCGAACCCTAATGATCAA